TATATATATATCTATATATATATATATATATATACCGTGTGGATTTTGATTCTATTCACCCCCCAAAAGATACTTTTAATCCCACTCCTTTATGCCAATGTCCAGTATGAGAGCCAAGGGAGAGATCGCGATGCGCGATCTAATTGTCGAACTCCAGAACGCCAACTCTCCCTACACCGTCAAGCGCTTTATCAGCAGTGGAAGCTATGGGGCCGTTTGCGCGGGTACGGATAGCGAGGGCCGGCCAGTGGCCATCAAGCGCGTTTTTGATACCGTGTCGGAAGGTCATAACGTGAACATATTGTCCGACTCTTTTCTATGCAAACGGGTTCTTCGCGAGATTCGTCTGTTGAACCATTTCCACCACCCGAATATTCTGGGCCTACGGGACATTTTTGTCGACCTGAAGGGTACCAACCAACACAAGCTCTATCTCGTGACCGAGTTGATGCACAGCGACCTCGCGCAGGTGATTCACGACATGCGTATTCAAATCTCCCCGCAGCACATCCAATTTTTTATGTACCACATCCTTTTGGGCCTGCACGTTCTCCACGAGGCCGGTGTGGTGCACCGTGATTTGCATCCCGGGAATATTCTGCTTTCCGAGAACAACGACATCACCATCTGCGATTTCAACCTCGCCCGGGAGGATACGGCGGATACCAACAAAACGCACTACGTCACCCACCGCTGGTACCGCGCGCCGGAGCTGGTGATGCAGTTTAAGGGCTTCACCAAGTCGGTGGATTTGTGGTCCGCCGGCTGCGTGATGGCGGAGCTTTTCAACCGCAAGGCCCTATTTCGCGGCTCCACCTTCTACAACCAACTCAACAAGATCGTGGAGGTTGTCGGGACCCCGAATATGGAGGAGGTGGTGTCTTTTTCGTCACCTTCGGCAAGGGAGTACCTGCATAACTCGCTTTCGAACCTGCACCCACGGGCATGGCATGAGATCATCCCAACCGCCTGCCCCATGGCGCTTGATCTGATCGCGAAGATGCTCGAGTTCAATCCGAACAAGCGAATCAACGCGGAGCAGGCCTTACAGCATCCGTATTTTATCCCTCTTTATGATCCGCTTGACCCTCGCGAAGGCCTTAGCCCGCATTTTCATTTTGACGAAAGCATCGAGGACGTCAGCGAGATGCATGCGATCTTTTTGGAGGAGCTCGAGCGGTTTAATGCGCTGCGGGGAAAACGAAATTTGGCGACCCGGGAGCGCGCCGCCGGGCAGGCCGAAAACGCCATCAGCGCCGACCACGTCCCGCGCACGCACAGCCTGATGGAGGTAATGGGGAATGTCAACCGATAAAACGCGAGCGGTGCCGATGGGATCTTTGTGGTTCTTGCGGATTCGTAAGGATAAGTGAAGGGTCCCTTAATGGGGGAAACCCAATACGGCACGAAAATTGCTAAATGTGTTTTATTTCCATGCGAGCATGGGTCTTTTCTTTTACCTATTGAGAGTTGGAATTTTCAATGCATTTTTTCATAGTGGAGTTTAATTATTTTTATCAGTGTTACATTCTCGCCAGTTTTAGCTTGATCTTCTAAATTATTAACTCTAAGTGTATAATATTTGTTCATCGAAAATTTACCTGTTTACTTCATCATCGTGAGCTTTTTTCTTTCAAATAATTCTA